TGCGGGAACGGATTCAATGGAATTGTAATAGATAAGCATGATATCGGGGGTGGGAGGACAGTGGATGGGGGGAGGGGGGTTGATACTTTGTGAGGGTGAAAAGGGTAACTATTGCATTGTTCTGTACACCTGAAACTAACAATAAAAAAAAGCATTAAGTCTACAGCTACCTTTATATAGGCAAAATGCATATGTGTAATTAGAACAATTCTCCTCTTTTGCATTCCCATCCCTCACCACAAAAAAAAAGCACACGTAATTCCACAGGTTCCACTGACCACAAAGATGTAACATAGAAACTCGACAATTAAGAAAAAGTACTACATATTGAAATCCGAGAAGACCAAACCAGTTTTTCTGAGTTCAATAAGAATGTCAAATTAAAAAGTAGTTTACCATAATGGGATCTAGGTTAAAACATTAATAACCATACTTTAAAATATAATTGTGAAGGGGGCTGAAAACAATTTTAATATTAGAAAAAATATGAAACTAAAATTTTAGTGAATGAACTCAAATCTTTAGCTATACCATGCAAATTCCTTACTCTTCAAAGCCAGTTAATTTAAAGAATTTTCAGAGTTCCATCTAAGCCTTTTGGAACAAGTAAATTACTTTCCAAAGAAATAAGAATTAAGCATTCTAAGAAGCTATGTTCCAGATACTACGCTGACTGAGATGTCTAGGTCTAAATATCTCTCAGATGCTTCTTATCCACTTAGCATAATGATTGTAAAGACAAAATTTTATCTTACTTTGTCAGACATAAAACAAATCCAAAGTTACCACAGTACATGGGTATACAAGTATTTATTTTCTACCTAACAGTCAAGGATTAGATTTACCTTTAAGTTTAGACATATTGGATGTCAGTATGCTCACCATCATCAATACTATTATTTGAATGCAACAGAATTTTCTTATCAACCATCTCAAACTATAAACTGACTTTAAGTCACCCCCTCCCAATTCCAAGCAAACATTTTTCTTGAAGATAGGAATGCTAAAAGGTAATTTGTTAAAAGGGAGAGAAAGGAGTGTTATGGCTATTACACAAATGAGTGCAAAATATCCTTAAAAGGTAACAAGAGAATCAACTTGCTATATACTCTCTGTTCCTGAAGTACTTTTACCTTGAAAATTATCTTTCCAGATACTAAGAGCTATCTGATCTTTAAAAAGTATTCTGGGGGGGCCGGCCGAGTGGCGCAATGGTTAAGAACTGGCTTGGGATGCCAGAGGACCCCGGTTCGGATCCCACATATGAGGGCCAGTGACACTGCCCTCCACAGCTAAGATGCTGAACAACAGCTCAACCTGGAGCTGGGCTGCCGTGAGTTGCCGGCAAGGCGACGGCATAGGCTGCAGCCCCTTTGGCAGTGGGTTGCTACGGGCTACCATATTTAGCCAGCAGTGAGCGGCCCTCAAGCCGCTGTGAGCGGCTGTCCAGAAGCCGGCGACTGATCTGCCTCACCTGGGAAGAGCGCAATGATGGTGCCAACTTGGGCCAGTAAAGCAACGTCCTCCACAGCTAGACTGAAGAACAAAACAACAGCAACTTGTCTGTTCCCCTTCCCCAATTCCCTAGTGCTGTTCCCATCCCCCCAATTCCCCAATAAAAATCTTTAAAAAAAAAGTATTCTGGGGTATGAACTTTTCCAGGGAAAAAAAATAAAAGAATACATTAAGCTGTATTTTAGATAACTTTCAATGTTCTTCAATGACCTAGCTGAGCCAAAATAAAGTTATACAAGTGAAATTTAAGATATGAAGGTTTTTATTTTCTTATATACTCTATTGCCATTGATTGGTTCAATTTAATGGCTTTGCTAACTGATATCCAACAGCATGGACATTTTATAAAACGAATTACAACATTTAGATTATTTAGGGGTTGGAAAAGCCTGATATTAACAAAAAGTACAGAGTTCACCTTTAAGGCACATGAGGCTATATAGAGTAAGCCATGAACAAAATCTCTGCTAGAAAATCTGGAAACAAGATTTCTATATTTGTTGTGTACTAATACTTTTGGTATAAATATGAAGATATTTGATAAATTTCACAATTTTTAACACTCATCAGAATCTGGATACCTTTATGCAGTAGTGTCTTGAAATTTTTCCTTTCCAAGTGGATTTAACACTTTTAAAAACTAAATAAAATGAGATGTCCACCCAATCAATAAAGTCATTAAATTACAAGTCAGTTTCTGGGATTAATTCAGAAATATTTAGTTAACCCAAAGGACTGAGGAAATAGACAAAACTGCCACAGCCTAACAAAAAATGAGACAAGTCTCATGACAAAAAAAAGGTGTTATTTTACTCTAACTTCTTGTTGGGACAGAATGAGCTAGCCCTTTAGTTTTATACTGCATTGCATATTATACTACACTACCTTACTTTAATTCCATTGCAAAACTGTAGAGGAAGACATGCCATTTTGTTTAACTCAAGGTTCATACTTGAAAAAGCTGTGGTGGGACTGACAGAATTCTATGATATCACTTTTTTTCAGTTTCATTGATATATAATTGACATACATACAAGACCTCTAATAAAATGTTTCTGGATACATCTCAGGGGGACTTTATCATGCTCTCAGTTAATAAGACTTATTTTTAAAGGGGGAGACTTATTTGCTCCAATGTCAATTCTCTACAGATAAGAACTGACACTGAAGCAAGTAAGTCTCATTTTTATTAATTGGTTAGTTAGGGCTTATATTTTAAAAGAAAAAAACACCTGAGTTGGGTTTGTTTTAAATTGAACTTAGAGATATACCAGACTGAATGAGTTACTACTTATTCTAAGAAAGAAATCATTCAAACTTGAATTATCTACACGAGGCATTAAAACAGAACAAAAGTATAGCACATTAATGAAGACAAGAGAACTTTGCCTTTTTCTGCTAGGTTTTTTTTGGGGGGGGCATGGAGGAAGACTTCGTAATCTCCCTTTTCAACCATAAGCAAACCCAAATTGTTTTACTTTCTTTCTTTTAATCATAGAGGTATTTCAATTTCCTCCAAACCAACTTTAGTGACTATCTCTAAAAGACAGTTCATCCAGATTTACATAAAATTTCATGGAACACTGTATTATGGACTCTCAAACCTTTATATGCTTTTAAAATTGGCTTTGTGGTGCTTTGGTAAACTTGTTTAATAGTGACCTAAGTTCCATCTAAGGTAATAAGACTATATGATCGTTGGGAGAGTAGAAAAATTGGTCTTACGACATCACGACCCTGTTTAGGATTTTCTCTTACTGGTCACTGTCAAGTAAATTCTTTCTAAGTATTTAACAAATAAATGCTGCTCTATGGTCTCCACATGGGGCCTGTTTGCCCGAAAGAGTGGGTACAGAGAACAGTCATTCTGTGGAATTTTGCTCTTCCTAAGAGCAGACAGAGAATGATGCTGCATTCGCTCTTTTCTCCATTTGCTCTTTCTGTACTTGAAATGGCAAACACAACGAGATTGACCCTTCCCACCTTCCTGGGGTCTATCCCCAATCTCTCTTTGGGCCCTCTAAGCTGGTCAGGAGCACCAAAGAGGGGATAAGAGGAAAGTCAGAAGGACTACTCCAACTGATAAACACATACACATATATACTTTTATTTTAGTAAAATTTTAAAGTATGAATTTAGTAGTCTTCAAAATGTGACAACCATACCGCAGACCTCAGCAAAGCTGCAATATATCAATTTTGATCCTCACTTTCAATTCTTTAAACTTCGAGGAATCAAAATTAGATCCAATTTTCAAAACATATGAATGTGAGCAAAGGTTAAGCCTTTATATTTAGATGAAGAATTTTAAATTAAGAATTTAAGTCATTATCTTTATCATAACAAGTTACTTCATATGATTGAAAAGTTAAAAGTAGAAATCCCCATCAAGCTGACTCTAGTTTTAAAAACAATTGATTCCAACTCCTACAGTATCCTGATTACCTCCGAAGGTGTCCACAACAAAATGAAGATTATGAAAATCAGGAATCAGCTTGACTGTCAGAAGTATCGGTTTCCACCTTCTTTAACCCATGTAAATGTTCAAAGACGTGTGGTAGAAAAAAAGGACTCACACTATGTCTAATGCTCATGAATAGCTCTCCATAAAAACATTTAAATAAACCCTATGACTTCACATTTAAAATTCGTTTTACTAACAGCCAACAACCTAAGGTGTTTTTTTTCCTATTATCTCACTACTCTGTATTTCTAGTGATTTATAGAGAAGGCTAGCAGAACTGTAAGGGTTTTCTTTTGTTAACTTTGACCATTAACCGGTTCATATGCCAGAAGCTGTTAAACTAAATACTGTATTTAAAAATTAGAGCTGTGCTGGGGGGAAAAATGACCTACAAAAAGAACATAAGAGAGATATTTTCCACCTTTGAATAGTTTCACAGCCTAACATTTCAGAAAGCAGTGGAAAAGTATAATTGTTTTTTTTTTGCTTAATTGCTTTCTCACTTGAATATTAATCAACATAGCATCAAGTCTAAAATTTGCTATTAGTAATATTATTTCCTCAGTAGTCATCACTTACAGAAAGGAGTCTGAATTTAAATATAGTGAAAAACAAAAGCAAACCTAACAGGAAAGCTATTAGGGCCTGTTTTTTACACCGTTAATAATGAATGAAAACAGAACTAAACCTAATGAAGGCACTATTATAAACAGCAATCCACACCCAACCCCCACAACCTCCATAAAAGATTTCCACTAGGAATTGAGAATTATGCTATGACCCTTTAGAAAAAGTAATCAAAGAAACTGTAACATTAAAGAAACTGAATTGTGATCTCTACACATGTACATATATTGACATAATAAACTACTTGTCAGCAGTACCTTGAAATCTTCTACTGTAAAAGCCGGTCTTTGAAAACGCCTACTTAACCACCCTAAAGTTTAAATAGTCAAAACATTTACTAAATCAGTGGTTCTTAAACCTAGGATGCACTGGCAGAATACCCCAGTGCTTGTTAAAACACAACGCTGGGCACACCCCGGGCTTCCGATTCACCTGGCCTGGGTGGGGCCCCACAGTATGCATCACTAACAGGTCTTGGGTGATGCTCAAGCTGCTGGTCCAGGGACCACCTGCTGAGAACCACAGGCCTAAATTCTACATGGTGGTCAGCACATCCCTAACCAAAAGTTTGGTCAAGATGCATGTAAACAAATCAGGATAGAATACCAATGCTTAGAAAGAATGCTGACTGCTTCACCCTTATTACATCAACACATCTACATCTGCTTCGTGGTCTTCCTCCGTCACTTTCAAGGACAGCACTTCTTCATTCAGGAAGAGCCCACTGAGCCGCTCCTTTCGAGCCTGCCTCTGCTCTTTCAGCTGTCTCTTGCGTAAGGCCTTCTGCTGCAACTTCCGCTGCTTGGATCGCTTCTGTCAAAGTACAAATTTCTAAATCAGTAAGGTTTAAGTTCTGGCATATCCACCCCAAAGTATCTTATGGATCAAATCTGTAGCTTCAGGATTTTTAGAGATGTTTAAGTTCCTCTGCAGTGTGATTCTGGTTCCAATAAATGAGCCACTGGCTTAGACTTGAAAATGATTCTTCAAGATTCATATTTTTATGGTAGTTGACCAGTGAATGTTCTGATGAGGAAGGACTGAAACTTAATCATTTTGACTAGTTATAGCTAACTAATCATTTCAAACACTTCTTTAAATCAAATTAAGGTACACTGATGTCAGTGCAGCGTGAAACATAGGGAACAAAACTGAACACAAATGTAGAGAACATTTCCAAAATCTCTAATGGGTATGCTTTTAAGGTGCCTTTCATCGGAAAGCACTAGCAATTTTACCACGACTGTGAAAGAATCATGTATTTTCCTTATTAGGCAAATACCATATTCAAAGACCATTAGAAACCCAGTGGGGACTCTATTCCTTGTCACTGGTGAACTGATGCCAAAAAGGAATGACCACATATCCAGAGGAACCCCTTGGCAACCAACAAAGCTGGCTCTGTTTCTGCTACTTCAGTAAAAGCCAGAGAAGGAATCTTTGTGTATCTTCTAGTCGCCGCTGGGTTTCCAAAGAGTTAGAAAGACACCTTTATCATCCTTAAGTTGGCTCCAGACTTGTCACCACTGCAAGAAACTGAATTCCTCTGCTAAGTATCACAGAACCATACATATACTTATACCTCCTATTTTTTATATGCCCAATAATATACCAATTTTGTCCAACTGTGAGAAGAGCTGAAAATTACAGAAAGCAGTATTACATTTTTTAAAGGGCTAAGAAACATTCAAGATTAAAACATTAAGAAAACATTTAGTACACAAAAGACAGAATATTCTTAGGAACTAATTAATAGACAACAACATAGTGAGATCTGCTCGTTGTTTCCATCACTTTATCTTACTTAAAACAGATATAAAAGGGGCCGGCCGAGTGGCTCAGTTGGTTAAGAGCTCGCTCAAGAGTTTGAGCTCTGAGCAACAGCGGTTCGAGTCCAGCCCAAGCTGAGCAGCCGCTGAGCTGCCAACAGGTAGCAGGATGGCTCAGCTAAAAAAAAAAAAAAACAGATATAAAAATCAGATAAAGGGCCGGCCAAGTGGCGCATTGGTTAAGAGCTGGTTTGGAATGCCAGAGGGCCCCAGTTCGGATCCCACATATGAGGGCCAGTGACACTGCCCTCTACAGCTAAGATGCTGAACAACAGCTCAACCTGGAGCTGGGCTGCTGTGAGTCGCCGGCGATGGCATAGGCTGCAGCCCCTGTGGCAGTGGGTTCCCATGGGCTACCGTGTGTAGCCAGCAGCCAGCGTGAGCGGCCAGCAGTCGCCGTGAGCGGCCGTCCAGAAGCCGGCGACTGATATGCCTCGCCCGGGAAGAGCGCAATGATGGTGCCAACTTGGGCCAGTGAATCAACGTCCTCCACAACTAGACTGAAGAACAAAATGACAGCAACTTGTCTGTTCCCCTTCCCCAGCGCTGTTCCCATCCCCCCAATTCCTCAATAAAAATCTTTTAAAAATTTCAGATAAAACTGAATGGTACTGCTGTGGATCACAATAGCATTTCAAAGCACTCAGCCTGAAGGGCTTTGTTCAATAGCAGAGCGCCCTGCTGTTCACTTCAAACCAAAACTGTTATCATCCATAGCAGGAGAAGCTTAACTCTACAGAAATGTAGAACATGAGGGGGTACTGATGTTAATTAAGATTGAAAGGTAGAGTTTTGTGCTGATTAGACGTCTTACTTTTGAATCCCGAATCCGTTCTGCCGCACTTGCAGAAAGGTTGCTGTCACTGTGTGCTCGACTCATGTTGGCACTGGAGTTTGAAGCAGAGTTTCCAACACTGGACCCACTGCTGCTTGCAGAACTGACCATGCTGGCACTGCTGCTGCTGGCACTGGCACCGCTCACTCCACTGGTGCTGGCACAACTGAAGTTGCTTCTCTTCCAGGCCTCTCTTGCAGGCCGCTGGCGAGGGCTATGCTCCTTGATATAGTTTCTGACCTTGGAACACGCACACAAAAACTGGTTAGTGTTGTTCCTTGACGTTCTACCCTCGAAATAGTGGAGAAAAGAAGAATATTGTACTTAATTTTAAAGACTGTCAAAAGTGCTATATATGTACATAGGTATAATATAAGGACAAAAGAAATCTCTTGACAATTTCAAATTTCTAGAATACATACTATGGAACTAGATTGTATAAGCACACATAAAATATACTCAGTAAATGGAAAAAATATACTGGCCTCCAGAATTTAGGATTGTAGGATAACACTCAGAAACAGAAACTAACAATAAAATAAATGGAGTTAGGCATTTTTTAAAGGTCTCCACTTTCGATGATTTAAGTACGTTGCTAATTATATCTAACATTAGAGAGTTTCATAAATCTTAACTAGCAGCCCACAGTACCTGTCTTCAAAGCCAAGGCCTCAATTTACCATACTAATGAAAAATGGGCTGGAATATGGAAAATTACAATATGTCGGCTGAAAGAAATACTGAAATGAGAAAAATGTTTCGTAAATGATACATGCATAAAATTTTTAAAAAGTAGAATATAAGTATTTGTTTAGCTATGTACCAGAGAAAAAGAGAGCAGTAAAGACTGTATTTAGAAGATATCAGAAATGTGTGTTTCAGAATAGAAGGAAAAACTAATTAATTACATTTCACCGTAGCCAGGCTCAATTGCTCCCTAAGACTACTGAAATCCTTCAGCTCATTTCATTCAAGTATACCTCTCAATAATCAGTATTTTGAGTCTATCAACCTGTCTTTTGTAAGCTGAGATAGAATAAATCTATAGCTTAGGGTAACTACCCCTCGTGTGGTAAAATTAAGTTTCAAAGCCTATACAACTAAAAACCAGATTACAGATCCACATGATCCCAGAAAGGTACTGCCAGGTAAGATGTATAGAAAACCTCTCAAAACCGTATGTTTTTCACTATTACCATCATTTTTTTCCAATATTACATTTCACAACAGTGATTTTGACCTTAATTATCTATGTATTTACATAAGATTATTCAAGTATACATGTTATAAAACAATGGTATTTTTAATGGCTGAACCATCTGTATTTACTTCCATACCTGCTTCAGTTTTTCATCTGTGAGACAGTTAAGTTCAATAATAAACTCACTGTCTGTAGGGGAGATTTGAGCAGAAGGATCAATTATTTTAATAATGTCAAGTTGCTCCCGAAGACCCATCTCAGTACTGACTTTACGACTCAGATACTCAATATATTCCACCTATGTGATGAAAAATTATAATAAACAGGATTAATGCCAAAACATCTGATCACTTAGTGTTCATTTATAATGTGTTTTAAATGTCAAAGCATTTAATATATTTGTTCCTTGCAAAACAGTTAGTTAAAGCTCAAATTCAGCTTTATTAAGAAATCCACATTTACCCAGTGACTGTAAACAGGCAATAAATTGAGCTTCACATATTCTCCACATATATGCTTTTAATTAAGAATGTCGAGATCTCTACCTGTTCATCATTTGTCATTGCACTCCAAGGAAGTTCATCTAAATTCCGGTGCTTGTTTTTCTTTTTAGGAAGCAAGCAAGGTGAACTTGGAATACTGGGTATGACATCAGAAAGCACGTCACTCCCACTGGCAATGTCACTGCCCGGTAACTTGATAAAAATTAGAAGAAGGGGGGCATGAAAAGCAAAATTTTTAATAAATACATTTTAGATACCACAACATATTTTATACTGATTAAACATTACTTCAATAAAAGACCAATGACAAATACAGAATCAGAAGACATTAATTCTGATCCACTCCTACTTTAGACAAAGCAGCAATTTTCCAAAAGCTTAAAATCATAATCAAGATTTGTTAAAACGCTATCTTAAGAGTCAATTGTCATTAAGTTTTTAAATTCCTAATGTGAATGCAGGCTAGGGCTCACACAGCATAATGAAAAAGGAGCACCGGTCTCCATCTCAAGAGACCTGAGGGATCGCCATCACCTGGCTCTTTGCCAGGCACTGTGCTAGACATACTGCCAATATAAAGACAAATAAATCATGGTCCTTGTCCTCCAGTCGGTATTAATAACCTCAAGACAATTAAAACCATTTCAACTACACCATTAATATAAAGCAAAACACTTTAAAGACCAGAAGTATTATAAAAGAAAAATTCGAAAAAAAATGCTCAGAGACAATGTGTAGACAAAGGAGAAATGCAAGCAGGCCTAACACACAGAAAATCAAATCAGTTTAAAGTGAGATGGACAGCAAAAATATGTGTTATAATTTTATATTGCCTATTAAAAGCCAGTTAGAATGAATTTAATCTTTTAACAGCTTTACTGAGTTATAACTGATAAACAAAGAACTGTACATATTTAATATATATAATTTGATGAGTTTGAACATATGTACATACCCATGAAACCATCGCCATAATCAAGGTAATAAATACATCCATCACCTCCAAAATTCAGAATGGATTTAACTTTAAATAAATATGTTTAAGTCATTCATCAAAAAGACAGTCTTTTATTCTGCAAGGAGCACATCATTTTCAAAGATAATGCTTTTGTTCTCACAAGGTACAGAACAGAACCATTTTGTGGTTGAGAAAAGCTACTTTTGCCATGTATATTACTGTAATCACATGTATTTGGCCTCCTATTATGCCCACAGCACTTTAACAGGTACAAGGGATTCAAAGGAGTATAAGTCCTGGTCTGTACCGAAGAACTCTATACTCTACTTGGGAAGCTAATAACATAAACATACAATTATACAACACAGCAAATGACAAATGTTAGGTTTGAGATGATAGGTCATCAATGGAAATAGATATCTAACAGTGAGTTAAAGCTGCAGGATTAAAGCTTAGAAGAGCTACAAGGGAGCAAACATTGGAGAGTCAATTGCATAGAAGAGAGGAATGAAGCCACAAAAATGGGGTTGATCACTAGACAAGGTGACTATGACATTTAGAATGAAATTGTCTAAGTTAGCTCCTACTCTTAAAAACCACATTTTCACTTTGACAGTCATTCATTAGTCCAAGTTCATAAGTAACTTCCAACAATTTATGTGACTTCCTTTTTAACTACACTGCTTGAATCACTCACCCTTAGCCCTAATATTATCTAATCAGTGTCATGAAAGGATGATTACTGAAGGCATACATGAAGGCCATCTCTTTTTCAGCCTTTAATGTCAAAAAAGAAAATGTTTTGCTATTTTCCCTTTCAAAGACTTCAAATCACATTACTACATTAAAGATCTCCCTAGGGTTCCTAAAAGAAAGTGAGACGCTCATCAGATGAAAGGCCTTCCCTACTTCAAGCTCCTTTGATAAATTAGGTAGAGAAAGGAACATTCAAAGTATCTACACTCTCAAAATTTAAGAAAAATGTTCATCTACATCTTTAGATGTAAAACTATGTTAAGCATTTAAATGTGTGTCTTTGTGTCTACGTGCTTGTTTGGAGAAGTGAGGAAGAGGTCAGGAATGGCAACTAATGATTCTTTGGCCATTTTTTTCAGGGAGAGATAAGAAGATCCCAGAGTTTAAATCCCAGCTCCACTACTCACTAGCCATGTGACCTTATGGAAGTTAGGTTCGCTTCTTTGAGCCTCAGGGTCTTCAGTACAAGTTATGGTTAATGTCATCCATCTCAAAGGATTGTTGAAAGGTTTAAATGAGGTAACATGCCTGGCACATAGGTGACAATAAATAGGCACATTTTGCTTTTTCTATCTATTGCCATGGTTTTGGACCCTTAAAAAAGGTAGTATAAATCCTCGGAGAATGCCATGTTACTAAAGTTGGCTGGGTTAAGTTTCACAAGGTCGTCTCTCAGAATGGCAGAAGGGAGGAAAGGAAAAGGCATTCAGGTAAGGAGAATAATTTAATAAAACAGATGGGAAAAACACAGAATGAGGTTAAGGAAACCAACACAATTAAAACAGAAAATCACGCTAGGGATTTGAAAGCTAAGTGAAGAACCAGAAACGCGCATGATATGTAGAAGTAAGCCACTAACATTCATTCCTAAGGAGAAGTAACTTGATAAAACTGGTCTTGAGAAAAGATGAGTTAAAAAGCAGTATGGGGACAAAATAAAGTAAGAAAAGACTGGAATCAAACAGGAAGCTGGTTTGATCTAGGCCTGGACTAAGATGAGCAAAAATGGAAAGAAAAATGAGAACAGAGAAAATTTCGAATGAAAAACAATTTACAGGGCTGTTTATAACTGAATGGACAAGGATACTAGACACATAACCAACATGAGACCAGAAGAAAACTGGCGACATTTCAGTCACAGAACCCATCCAAGGTGATGCACTTAAACACCTCAATTTTTACAGCAAGAGACCTGAAGCAATGTTATAGATCTTCTAGTCCAGGGGTCAGCAAACTTTTGAGATGGAAGAGCCAATCCTGTCCCTCACAACGACTTAAAAATTACTCGAGAGCCAAAAATATATTGTTACAAATAAGGAAAATTTAAAGTAATATTATAACAAGTAATAGTATTAATTACAGCTATTAAAATAAGAAAAATTCACACACAAAATTGCTCACATGTACATACCCAAAGAGCCACATGTGACTTGCGAGCTGCAGGTCGTCGACCCGTTCTTGTCTAACACCCTCATTTTACAATTAAGGAAAAGTGATGTCCAGGGAGGGTCACACAGTTAGTGGCAAGATCAAAAGTAGGGCACAAGTCCACTGCTTTCGACTATGCAAAGACATCCCCCCCTTGCAAGTTTTTGGTATGAGAGAAGAATGCAATTTGGGATATGGAGAGTTTGTAATGATAAAGAGAGAAGCAAGCACGAGTCCTTTGAAATGACAATAGTCATGTTTCACTACACTCTAAGACATGTCACAAAGCAGAGTTCATTTTTTTCCCACGATAATTGGAAGTTTCATTACTGATCAAGGAGTCAGCATCAGATAATAGGTTAGCATTAAATAATAAGGTCATCCAAGTGGAAATGTCAAGTAGTCAATGGAGATATGGGATGAGAGTAGCAGATGTACATGACAACTACAATAATTGTATGGGCTCTTGTATATTTATTAGACCAGCAATTTTCCATTTTATAACTGATAATATATTTCAGGATAAAATTGCTTAATAATTCTCATCCCATATTTTTCACAGACAACAATATTTGGTATATTTATATTATAATCAGTAATTGTGACATTTAGGGAGAATTAAATCAAACCTCTGCCATATTTTCTGCAACACGCAGCAAAATTTTATGAGTAAGCTCATTTCTGTAACAGCTGATGCGTAATTTCAAATTGCACCTCTAGGTTTTAAGTGTGACAGCTAAATTACTCACTCTTTAAATTTTCTATGCTGTCCTGCTCAACAATAAAATAATTTCTCGAGCTCTAAGACTAGTCAAATATATCTTTAATAATAAAAGGACTGCAAGCAAAGAAAACTATCAGCACAGCAAAATGCTTCGAAGCTACTTCAAATGCTAAGATCCTACTTCATTCTAAGGTTAAAATTCTGCCTTATTAAGTAGTTAGTATTTCTCTTCCCAGAATCTATGAATCATTTATATTTACTTTAGTAGTAACTGAAACATGTGATAAAAAGAAAGATTTAAACAGGTGCAGTTTTTAATCACAACAGAGGTTAACACAAATTTTTTAACTACAGTCAACAAATTTTAGTCTGTATTAACCCTAACACATAATTTGTAATTATCTTCTTGGATAATTTACTGCTCATCATTACAAGGTCCCACAAAGACAAAAGAGCGTTTTAAACCTTTCAGCATATTTAAATAGCAAATATCCATGGCAACAGAGTACCCACACTCCAATTTCCTAAGTGGGAAAACACATTACTAAAGCAGGCCTGATTTTTGTTCCAATGTTGGAGTCAGTCATGTACATGAACAGTGAGTGGTTGAAGATAGTTCTCCACTCTAATTATTCATGAAATGAGTGAAGTCAACAACTAAAATAAAAACCGCCTGCCACTTAGTAACATTATAAAAATGCTAACTAAATCACATGAAATAAGCAGAAAATAATTTCTCAGAATTATCAGGACTCCATGTGATTACACTTTATTAAGAATCCTTGTAGTCCGATTTTAGTGTGCACTTAAAAAAGTGAGGCACTGAAGAATAAAAAGGTACCCACACAGATGCTCACTGTTGTGTTATCTTTTAAAAAAAATTGAAACAGATGTACATAGTGGAATGGTTTCACAAGTTCTGGCACGTCTAGTACCAGGAATATTATGTAGTCATTAAAAGACTCATTATGAAGATCATGAAAAGGTTTTACAGGTTAAATGAGAAAATCTTTGTTTTATTAGTTTCAGGTATACAAAGCAATGTAATAGACATTTATACCCCTTACAAAGTAATAAGCCCCCCATCTACTACCCCTGTGACATCGTATATAGCTGTTACAATTCCATTGACTATATTTCCTATGACAAAACACACACAGAGGGTGCCAAAAAAATATATACACATTTTTAGAAAGGAAAAAACTGTATTAAAATTGTAATACTCAACATATACCAATAACAAAAGATGAATACAAGTCACGTTTGACTTCTGGAATTACAAGAGGTGCTCAAAGTAGTTACCAACAGCATCCAGACAATTCTGAT